AGAATAAAAGAGGTTGCTATCCGGCGCTTCGTGGTGTGTCTTCGTGAAAAGGAGGATCTCTTCAAGGAAAAGACCACAAAAGACGATGCTTAAATCATACTGTAACTTGTGTTAACCTGAAACATAATGCAATGTTTTCAAATCTGATTGCACCAAAAACACTGACATTTATTTTCTAATCTACTTATTCCAGGATGGTGATGTAGGAGTTAGCAATGAGGTGCTGAAGATTGTCTTGACCAGGGCTGCGGATGCAAGAATAGTGATTGAAGGAACAGAAGTCCTTCAGATCTCGGATGCGACAAGAGCCTGTGCCTGGGGCTAATACGAACTCAACCTAAACTCCCTAAAACAGATGTTAAAAACGTTAGAAGCAGGTTCATGCCTTTCATTTATTTTTTGTATTTACTTTTATTTCATATTTGAGAACATTTGTTATAAAAAGGTCATTGTGTAACGAACATTTTAAAATAAACTGTTAACAAGTGGAACTTCAATGTGTATATCATTTTTAACTCAAAGAATATAGTTTCTAATACTCAAACAAATTAAGGTAACAATTTGCATGAACATCTTTGAGTGGTACGGATTTAAATAAATAAATTACAATAGCTTAAATTAAACAAAATGCAACTTAATATCACTCCGTCTTAATCCGTTAAATTGGTTCAACTTAATTTAGTTTTTAAAGGTGAAAGCAAATTATGTTTGCAGTACTGAACTAATTGAGTTAATCAGATTATAAATGGGTACTCGGATTAACTTAATAATCGATTGAATTGGAAATACTTAAAAAGATCAACGCAAATTGTTACCTCAATTTATTTAAGTAGAGCCGGCGTATTTTCTTTTAGAGCAGAGAGGTCACAGTCATTTTGACTTGCTGGCACTTCCTCATTGCAACATTGTTAAGAAGTGTGTGACCTTTCAGCTGCGGTACACAATCCAGAGCGTTTGACTCAGTATTAGAGGACATAGCCCCTATGAAACCTCCTGATCATTTCAGGGAAACTGTTGTTGGTGTTGATTTTGAATTTCTTAAGATGTATATGCTTTCCATTCTTGCAGTGACTACAACCAACAAAGTACTTTCACGTGTATTGTATTGGAGAGAAGGCAAACATCTCTGAAGCACATATTTGAAAACCTAGACAAAATCAACTGTATGTCTATTTTTCATTAGTGGAACATTGCATCAGATCAATTTCATATTTTGTTTGTGTTTACCTGGGATTTTAAGATGAATTTCTATGAAGACAAATCATTTTCTTGATGAATGTAATAGTCGTTGCTCTATAAGACGTCAATAAATTGTTTTAAATGTTAATTTACGTTTCTCAAAGTGCAAGGTGAAGTTTAAAAATGTATTTCTTTCAGTCTGAAATCTAAGATATTTACTTTAAAATGATATAAAAACAGGAACTCTCCAGATATGAGATTCCCAAAACAGCTTCTTCTGTCATTACAATTACGATGAAATGATTTTTTTTTTAAAATAGGTGATTATTTTTCTGTCAAATAGATTCATGACTAATATTTGCAGCTCTAGCTAAATATCGTCATTATTTAATGGGGCTTTATTTCCATTATCGAAATTCTTCTCTCTCCTGTTTGCAGAGGTCAGTTTATCAGACGTCACTTAAACCGCAGCACTTTCAAATGTTCTACCTCGGAGATGAAGACCTTGCAGACTGATAAATCAAAGTCCTGTTCTCAAAGTTAAATTATTTGACTCACTGACTTGGAACCCATTATTGGCTTCATGCATTATTTAATATGTGTGAAAGTTTTGTGTCCTGGTTATATTGCAAAAAAGCAGAAGTGAACAGTATATTAAAATGCAACATGATACTTTGAAATGGACTCAGACTATTACATGTGTCATTGTGAGACGACTTCGCGTGGACTTATTTATTGATTATGTGTCAGTTCATGGGTTAATGCACACTCTGCTCTAACTCAAAACGCTCTTCACTCCGGTGTCAGAGCTTTCAACTTCTGTTATCTTTTATGTGGGCTTAATGAAGACTCTCCAGATAAACAATGGCACGAAGATTACAAAAGCAGTTTATTTGTAATCTTTAGTATTTCGTATAATCCATGATGCATCATTTGTGCTGCGATAAAATTAAGTCCAGTCTGCTTTGCATGTATTAAGGTCACAGACTTCTCAAAAGTACAAATTGAAACATACTGTTCTTTTAAATCAGCTTAGTGTGCAGCTGTGTTCAGGGAAGTGCGTGTCCAAGCTTTACATCAAATGTTATGTTAAATATTTGAGGACGGGTTTTAAAGATTATGAATGCAACAGACCTAAAGTTGTTTCCCCGCCCCCGCAGTGTTATTTGTGTCATACCCATTACTCTCCAGTTGAGGGCAGCGATACTGCTGAGAGTGATATTGTCTCCTTCAAATAAAGAGGAAGAGCAAGACGTGGAGGATGGACAATGAAGAAGTTTGATGTAAAAGAAGAAGAATGCAACCTTCAGGTGCACTCTGTAAATTACTGATGCAGCGATGAGAATAGAATAGAATGGGAGGGGTGAAACCCTCAGTAATGGTCACACATGCACACAGTGACATTTGTTCTCTGCTTTTAACCCATCTTAGTACCAGGATTCTAGTACTAGGAGCAGTGGGCAGCTATTGTACAGCACCCGGGGAGCAATGGGTGGGGGGATGTCCGGTGCCTTGCTCAAGGGCACCACGGCAGGGCAGGAGCCGAACTAGGACCTCTCCAAGTAGCAGTCCACACTCCATATTTAGGTCTGTTCGGGGACCCTATACGGCTCACAGTCCAAGCCCCTACTGACTGAGCCACTGCCGGACTGTGTGTTCAGTTTTTTTACAGCAAGAGTAAAAACAGGGTCTCTTTGGTCCTTTAATTGTTTCATTAAAGTAATAATTAAAAATGTATGAACTGATCCCCATATGGCAACTCGGGTATAAAAGCAGAAATAAAAACAATACTAAAAACACAGTATAAATCAGGTAAGAGTACACCATGATAAATAGGAATACAAAATAAAGAATTTAAGTTTATTAATAAAATATAAACAATATAATTAGTTCATAATCTTACACATATTATCCTTAAGTGCTGTGGCATTAATACTTTTAACACAAATTAAATATTCATTCGTCATGTTGCCTCTTATTCTAACAGTTATATATTTGTTAGCCTATATGATGCAGTTGTTTTAATTTCTTAAGTTTATTGTATATTGCACTCATATAGCATCCTCTGGCATACCATCCAACCTCTTCAATAAACTCCAGCATCCAGGACTCTGCTGCCCGCCTCCTCACTCACACCCGCTCCCGAGACCACATCACTCCCGTCCTCCAGAACCTCCACTGGCTCCCCGTCCGTCAAAGAATCGACAGTCCTCCTCGCAACTCACAAAGCCTTCAATAACCAGCCCCCCCTCCCCATGACATTATTTCCCGATTTTTCATGCAATTCTTCGTGTATAGCAGAAGCAGAATGTTACCAGTATATTTACACTGAACAAAAATATAAATGCAACACTTTTGTTTTTGCTCCCATTTTTCATGAGATGAACTCAAAGATCTAAAACATTTTCTATATACACAAAATAACCGTTTCTCTCAAATATTGTTCACAAATCTGAAAAAATCTGTGATAGTGAGCACTTCTCCTTTGCCGAGATAATCCATCCCACCTCACAGGTGTGGCATATCAAGATGCTGATTAGACAGCATGATTATTGCACAGGTGTGCCTTAGGCTGGCCACAATAAAAGGCCACTCTGAAACGTGCAGTTTTGCTTTATTGGGGGGGTCCGAAAACCCTAACCCTAACATGTCACCCATCGAGCATGTTTGGGATGCTCTGGATCGGCGTATACGACAGCGTGTTCCAGTTCCTGCCAATA